CGAAGGAATTAGCTTCAACCAGTGTTCAACAGAGAGAGAATACTTAAGGAAAAGAGAGAGAGTAAATAGTAATTAAGAAAAGTAAAAAAGTTTTCGACTTTTAGGAGTTGTAAAGAGAGAGAAAGAAAGAGTGCAGTAATCAACGAAAGTACCAAAGTATGCCAACTGGAGTTATAATATTATAGAGAGAGAGAGAGAGTCAAATAAAGTAAAAACACTTAAGATGCAAGGTGTTGTTTTAAGGAGTGTTATCATAAAACTTTAAGATGTCCACCCAAATAAATTGAACCATCAAGTATATTAATAATAATATCGTTTATTTGCTGTTAACATAAAAGCAACAATATCCTAACGGTATATTAGTATTATTATTATTATCATTACTAATATATACTTATTATTTTATTTATTTATTTTATATTTATTTCTGTTAATACTATTAATATTATTATTATTATATATATATATATTTTTTTTAAAAAAAAAAAAGTTTAGGATTGTTATACATGGGCTCTCAAATTATTGAATATTTGAAATATAAAAATTAGTATTAGTTAATTAACACATAATTTACTTTCATTTAATGGATGGACATCTAAGTAAAAAGTCGTAATAAACCAACAATAACATCAACCTCTATTTTTAAAAGATTATTATAAATTAGGCTTATATTTCCATCAAAGATAATGACAACAATACTGTTGTTTTATTTTGAGTGTCAAAGAATAAGAAGGGATTCTATACACATAGACAAGGTAGGGTATATATCCTAGAAATAAAAGTTTAAGACAATGTATCTTTCTAATTGCGTAAATCAAATTCAGTTTTTAGGATTTAGAGAAATGCTATAGAAGAGAGAGAGAGAGAAAGAGAGAAAGAGACGTGGATATAACAAAAGATAGAATTTATTTATTTTTCAAACCTCTCAAAATTTTGAGAAAGAGTTTAGGGTTGTAATTGATAAAGTATTTGTATCTTGTAAGGGGATCTAGATGGATTTGCTTATCCTAATCTAAATTTTAAAACATATTATGTTTATCCTTATTAAGTTTAATTTTTTTAACCTTAATAAATTAATAAGTTCATAAATCCAAGAGAGAGACGGGGGGTATGGAGAGAGATTGAGAAAGGATGTGAGAGGGGGCTATGAAGAGAGAGAAAGGACGTGGTAGGGGGGTATGAAGAGAGAGAAAGAAAGCGAAAGGGCAGGAGAGGGAGTGAGGGAGAACGAGATGGCATGGGGGAGTTACGGAGAGACAGGGAAAGAGAAGGGGTATGGAGGGTTTGGAGAGAAAGGGAAAGAGAGAGAAATATTATTTTGAATATCTGAAACTAACTTCTAAAAGTTTTGAATATAAAAACTTTTTATTCAAATTTTTACCTTTAAAAAGTAAAGTTTTATTTTTTAAAAATTTTTTAATAAATTTTTAAGAACTATCATCGTTACTTTTCTCTTTTTAATTACAATTTTTTATTTTTATTAAAAATTATCTGTGGATCTTCAAGATTTTTAATTCTATTTAATTGCAAATTTTAGTTTTTATTAAAAATTATCTATAAAATTTATGTTCCCATAAGTATCTATGATCAATTCATATTTTTTGTTAGGCCTTTTCATTGGTTTGAAGTTAACTATATGGCCTTGACTTAAAATAAGAAACCAATTTTTTTTAAAAAAGATTTTTTTAACTCTCTTAAAAAAGGAAACCTAACTTTATTTGTTTTTGAAGATTGACATTTTAAAGATCTCAAATAAAATATGTTGCATTTATTATAAGGGTTTTGTTAGGCTACACAACGTTTGGTGTAAAGCCTTATCTTGTAAAAAAAGTTGACCAAAATATATAAATGATTGAATAATTTATATATTGTTTGTGAGGACATTTTAGTCCGTTATAACCATTAAAATTTTAAGTTGAAAATTTTCCCTAAAATCTGGCTCTTCCCAACTTCCCATATGGCGTGTACGCCCCAAAAGCATTCTCCACGGCCTTGGCCCACACCCCATTTGCAATGGGCCTGTAGTACCAGACCAAATCACCTATTTCTCTCTCTAAGGAACCTGTTTGTTGCTCTCTCTACAGAGAATGGTTTTTCCTCTACACCATTGTTTTACCAATGCTTGGATTCAATTGTGTAAAATTAATGGATTATTTATACAAATGTTTTAGAATTACGGTTTATTTTTGCTCATATTACTTGTGAAAATATTGGCCTCCCATTTCAAGGCTTTATTGGGGACTCTTTTTCCAACGTTTTTTTGTTGTGAAAGTTTTACTGAGAGATTGGAGTTCACATGTTTGGCTGATTTTTGGATTTTGTGAGATGCGATAGAGAGGATGGCAGGTGGAGTAAGAAGCGATCTTGAGAGAATAGAGATTCAAGAGAGAGACAATGGTCTTATTTGTGGTCAGAATGATAGACACCCGGGGACTACGTCAAGGGGATTATTTTTCCCTTTTCTTTTTTACTATATATGCTGAATGCTTTAGTTTGATGCCTACCAATGTAATGAAGAATGATCACTTTGCAGGCTTTCAAATGCCCAATGGGGGACCGTGTATTTCACACTTGCAATATGCTGATGATACCCTGCTTTTTGGCAAGCACATCAGGCGCAAGTTGTAAATATTGCTATTTTTTTGAAGTGTTGTAAAGGTGTATTGGGTTTAAAGGTTAATTTTGTGAAAATAGGTATGGTAGGTGTAAATTGTCATGATGTGGAGGTTTCCTCTTTTGCACAGGAGTTTGGTTGTAAGATTGAATTTTTCCCTAGTAACTACTTGGGTATGCCAATTTCAGAGGGTGATCTCCCTATTGCAGTTTGGGATAAAATTTTGCAGCGTATCCAAGTTAAGCTAGATTTATGGAAATTTAAGTATTTATCTTTTGGGGGGCATGCCTATCAAACTGGTCTATTTATCTGATGTATATTATACAAATCCCTACTTCGATAACAAAGAAAATAGAGACTATGATGAGGAACTTTCTGTGGGGGGTCCTATGTGGAGAAAAAGAAGTTTCATCTCCTTCACTAGGATAGAGTGTGTACGCCTAAAAGGAAGGGAGGCTTGGGATTAGGAAAATCAAATTGGGTAATCAAATTCTGCTCTATAAATGGTGGTGGTGATGTCTTACTTTTAAAGATCACCTTTGAAACGAAGTGATTGCTTCAAAGTATGGAACGAATAGGTTTGGTATGTGGGTGGGGAATAGTAATGGAGTGACATGTCAGCCAGCTGGAGGGCTATCCATTCGTGTAAAGGCTTTATACATCGTGATATTCAGTGGTGTGTGGGTAATGGTTGCAATATCTCCTTTTGACATCATAAATGGTTGGGGAACTGCCCATTGAAATTATGTTTTCCTTTGATTTATCATTTGATAACTAATCAAGAAGCCACTATTGCCGAGCTTTTTGTTCGCAAGGGTAGTAATGTTGAGTGGAATATTACTCTGACTTATAATAGGGTTTCTGATTTGGTTTTCTTTCTGTTTGCTAATCTTTATAGACTATTAAAAGATGTTTATATCCCACATAATTCTTCTGATGAGGTAGTTTGGAAGATTGACAAAAATGGGATTTATTCAGTTAAATCTATGTATCATTTACTCTACTATGACAGGGTGCGATGGTCTATGCCTGAAATAGCTATATTGTGGAAATGACCCCTACCTCTCAAAGTGTAAGGTTTTCTTTGGTTGGCGGTTCAAAACAGAGTTCTCACGGTTGATAATCTAATTAAGAGAGGAAAATTTTTACTGAGTATACGTCTCATGTGCAAGAAAGACAGAGAGACCGAGAAAAAAAAAGAGTTTGATAATGTCATGCTTTTGGAAGACGATCTAGAAAGAGAGGGTCTTGAGAGAGAGAGCGGCTATGCGACTAGGAAAGGAAAGAGAGAGGGAGGTGTCAGGGATCCCACCGAAATATTTCCTACTTAAAAAAAGATGAAAACAACCCTTATTAGTTAACAACTTTTGTTTAACCTAATTGGTTTTTTTGTCCAAAAGTGTTGTGCAGGATAAGGCTTTACACCAAACGTGGTGTTGCCTAACAAAACCATGATTTTTTTAAAAAATCTATTTAATTACAAATTTTAATTTTTATGAAAAATTATCTATAAAATTTATTTTCCTAAAAGTATATATGATCAATTCATATTTTTTGTTAATTTTTTTCATTGGTTTGAAATTAACTATGTTGTCTTGACTTAAAATAAAAAACCAACTTTTTGTTTTAAAAGACTTTTTTTAACACTTTAAAAAAAAGAAACCAACTTTATTTGTTTTTGAAGATTGACAAGATCTAAAATAAAATATGTTGTATTTATTATAAAAGCAAAAATCGGTTTTAGATATTTTATATTTGCAAATATTGGATTTTGTATGCTTCAAACTTCCATTAATAATATATCCCTTTTTATAAGAGCTTTTAAACCAACTTTATTTGTTTTTAAGAATTGATATTTTAAAGTTTCCAAATAAAATATGTTGTATCTACGATACAAGTGAAGTTTTAGATATTTTATATTTGTAATATTGGATTTTTTATGTTTCAAACTTCTGTTAATAAGACGTCCTTTTTTATAAGAGCTTTTTTAAATATAAAAGTTAAGATTTTAGTAAACAAATTTTATTTATTTAAAATTCATTTATGATAATTTGCTAATGATAAACTTGTTGGTTATAAAAAAAGGTGTAGTTTATATAGAGCCAAATTTCTAAACAATCAAATAGAGCCCACCTTAAAATAATCACTACTGGAAAGTTTTGTGATAGTTTTAAATTATATTTTTATTTTTAATTATTAAATTTAAAGCTTTCAAAATAATGTAAATCAAATATATTTATGAAAACCTAAAAATCTTAAAAATTGACAATAAAAAAATTAGCATCAAAATATTTTATTTCTAAAATTTGAAATCCATTTTTTTCCTCATTCTATGCATTTTAGATGTTGAGTTGATTAATTTGATGATATTTGAGCATCAAAATAAACCTCTTCCGGAGGTCTCTCCAACGCCAGGAACATGTATCTTGTCACTCTGCCCTGTCATATGTGATTGGTGCTGAGCGAAGCCGGAGGGCCTCGCTCCTCGCGTATGGGAGCAAAGAGACCGCCCATCTCTCTACCCACCGACGCTCTTCTCTCTCTACACTCTTTCTCACTCTAAATACACAATCCAAATACTGCTCACCGCCGTTTCCCACACTGCCACACGACGCCCTCTCTCTCTACAACATAACTTCCTCCTCCCTCTCTCTACAAACGCACTTCTCTCTCTCCAAACGCAATTCCACCTCTCTCTTCTTTCACATCTTGAGAGAGAGAGAGGAGCTCCTCCTTGAATGGGAAGTCCCCCGCACCAAAACCTAGAGTTTCTCTCTCATCCCCTCTCCCATCATAAAATGCTCAGATCGGCTTAGTTCACTGTAGCTTGGGATCTCCACTTTCTCTCTCTAGCTTCCATGGAGTTTGCTAGGAAGGGAACGCTGTGGGTGATCCTGGCCATCGGCTTTGTGATTTGGACGGCGGTTGATGCATCTGTGCACACCTATTATTGGGAGACGTTCAGGGAGAATGGAAATGCCTACCTTCTCTCCGGTGGAAGTGAAGGGATTGTGGCTTCGAGGGTGGGAACAAGCGAGAGATGGGGGATCGATAATGGTAGATCTTACATCAGGTAAATGATTTTGATTTAATCTTTCACTGGAACTGTACAGAATTTACTGTTTTTGTATTAATTGTATGCAATTCAACTCAATGGCTGCTCATTCTGGTTAATTTTGAGATATTTCAGTTAGTTGTATATGATCTATGCCCTCTAAACCCTGTCTTTTCTTCGGAGATGGTGTGCTGAGTAGAAATCCTAGTTCTTGAGCTCATTCATTTTGAAATTTGAGGCATTTAAATCTGAGTTGCTGCGGTTATTTTATTTTCTTTTAATTTTTGAGTTAACCGCTAACTGGCACGTTCTGTCGTCTTTTTGATATTTTTCTGTTACTTTACTTTTCTTTTTGGCGTTCTTTCCTATCCCTTTTCACATTGTCCTATTTGATCTACAGTATTGTGCACGAAGATTTGATGCATCAGGGTAAGAAGCTCGAGCTTTGATGGTTTCCAAACACTTCCTATTCAATGCATGAATAATTTCTGCTTTTTTCTTGGGTTCTTTCCGAAATGCATCATGGGCTCAACAATTGCAGAAACTGAAACGTTCAATCAGTAATTTATCCACATAATCATGCTAGAACTAGACATTGATAGCGTTTTTTATATAGTGGCAATGCATTTTGTTTCTTAATATTTTTGATAATTTGATTCTACCCCCACAAACAAAAAGTGCAATGGAGGTCAATGGCATGTTATTCTGCCTCCCTACATTTTCTATATCACTATCACCAATATAAATGAACCGTTAAACAAAAGAATACTGAGAATTATAAGCAACATAAACTTAATGCTTTAATTATTGGAAAAACGAAAATCAGGATAAGACTAGATGAGTCTTGCATAACTTACAATACCATCTACTTGTTTAATATTTGGATTAGTTAATTAGATTACTTGCCATCATCATCATCATCATTTTAGCTTTTTCCCAATTAATTGGGGTTGACTACGTGAATCCTGGTTCTCCATTTTGCTTATTAAAAGCCATATCCTCAGTGTGGCCATAAGTCCCCTTATCTTTTCGGACTACTTCCAACTACGTCTTTTTGGGCCTACCCTTTACTCTTTTCAGTCCTTCCGCTTGAACTAATTTGCACCTCCTAACAGGTGTTGCACTTGTTCGGCGCCACACATGGCCAACCCACTTAAGTCTACTCTCTCTCATTTTATTCCCTATTAGTGTCATGCTTAAATTCTTTCCAACTACGTCCTTTTGGGCCTACCCTTTACCCTTTTCAGTCCTTCCACTTGAACTAATTTGCACCTCCTAACGGTTGTTGCACTTGTTGGCGCCACACATGGCCAACCCACCTAAGTCTACTCTCTCTCATTTTATTGCCTATTGGTGTCATGTCTAAATTCTTTTGAATGGATTCATTGCGAATTATATCATTTCTTGTCTTGTCACTCATCCATCTCAACATCCTCACTTCGGCTACACTCATTTTATGGGTATATTGTTTTTTGTCCGCCCAACATTCCGCTCCATATAGCAAAGTTGGTCTCATCGCTGTCCTATAGAGCTTGCCCTTCAGTCTCATTGGTATGCGGTGATCACATAAAATTAGATTACTTGCCATATTGTCTAATTTTTGCCGTATTGTCTAATTTTCTGTTAGCTCATCTTCAAAAGATATTTGTTTGAATTTTCATTTAGAGGAAACTAATTTAGTTTGGCAACTAACTATCCACTTGTGGTGAGTGTATCAATAGCATAATCACGTTGCGAATGAAAGATTCATTTGGACCTAGCAACAATTCCTAGAAAATATTTTTGATTGCCCAGATCTTTAAGGGGCTATTTATATATAACACCTGCAAATGTATTGTTTAAGTTGGAATATGAACCATACCCATTCATAATTTGTGAAATTTGACAGACACAGATTGGTGATTGTTCGGTGCTCCTATTGCACAAGTCTGTACATGATCCCTTGATCCCAAGGGGCAGGGCGAGGAAGGGAAGAGGAAGCAGTTACTAGAATTTGATGTGTTTTCAGCAAAATTACCCTAAATTAACATGAAGAAATGAAAGGTTAAGCATTTGTAACTTAATTCAATACCCTAAAGCAACCCAAACTATGTGACCTGCTTCTCCTGATACCTCTCGCTTCTTGGTAAGTGGTCATTGGAATTGCAGATAACCATCATGGAGGGAGCATGTGGTCGTTGGAATTTTGGTTTTCCATGCCAAGCTTCTTTTGGAATTGGTATCAGCCTCAACGGGGTAGAAGTTTCCTAGCATGCATAAATTGAATCCATTCTTCATTTAGTAGAAACTTCTTCGCTCATACATTCAATGCACTTCTTAATACTAGGATCCATCTAGCTCTTGTCTAGGCATCAAATTTATGGTTGGAAGTTGAGGAGCCTCAGGATGGGTCTTCAATTTCCTTGAGCTATGAAGACTCTGTAGCTCCATCTGACTTCCATTGCTTCCTTTGATAAAAGCCCTCTTGGTTATCTGGTCCGTCATCCTTTGGACCCTTTATTACTATCAAGCCTAGTGTTTTAAAATGTGGGATGCGGCCAAAAGCGGTGGGGGGCCCAATGCGGCTCGATGTGGGTGCATCGCGGCGATGCGATCAATAAATATAAATTTTTTTTAAAAAATCTAAAAAAATAGGTTAATGCATAGAAAAAATATGGAAGTGATATATATGATACTAGGTATTTAGTTTATTTATTAACTCCAAAAGTATTAACTGTCGGAGATTCTGTATCCACTATCCCCTGATATAAACTAGAAACTTAAAACTAGCTTCATAAAATATTCAACAATCAACAACCATAAGCACAAATCTGCAACCACAAACTTTAAAGTTACAAAATAGTGTTACTACAAACTCATGTAGTGAAGGAGGAACAAGTCCTGAGCCATATCACCCAATTGCCTGGACCATACATGCAAAACTATCTAGGGTTATAGTATTAAAAGGAATGCCGACCATGTAAAGCCACTTTGCAATATACTTACGTACCGACTTCTTTTGTTCTTTCTTGCATCGATTTTCAATTGTGGTTTGTTTTGTTTTTTTCCTTTTTTCTTGAACCACAATTTCGGGGTTAAGGGTGAAAAAACATCGATTGACCCTTTAGAGAGAGATTCTTTTTTCAACAGTACCACCAATATTTATAACCCTCTTTCTTGAGATTGGAGTACCCTTTTGCCTCATTGCAACTTCTGATATATCATCATCATCATCAATATCATCATCAAATAATTGCATATCATCAAGTAATTCTTTTCTTGTCATTTTTTTTTTCTCTTTTTCGTTTTTCAAGCCATCCATGTATTCTTCAATCTCCCTTTTTATCTCGTCGGTAGCTTGTGGGAATGCTTTTACATTCCCACAAATACCGGCTAAGTATTCTTTTTGTCGAAAAATACCACCCATAGAAGTATTTCTACAGGGCATGCAAATCACACAATTTCGATCTTTCGAATTTTTAAGTTTGGCATATTTCCAAGCCGGATCCTTATTACTAGAAGATTGGGAAGAAGACATTGCCCCAAAAAAAAGTATTACTGTAGAAGGAAAAAAAAGTTATCGGTTATTGAAGTAAGTATTGATTTTTTCACGGCCTTTGAAACCCTCGATTTGTCGTCACAAGTTCATCTAAACTTCTCCAAATCAACACCCAAAAGGTACAAATCAATAACCAAGTATCAACAAATCCCCAAATCGAAGAACTCCAACGAAAAAATTTTCTGCCTAAAATTTTCGTTTGTTTGATTGGGTCACAAAAAAACCACGAATGTGGCTCAAAAATGTCGTTTAGGGGGTCTAATACTCCCCCAAACCTTTTTCCCCAAATTTCGAAGGTCAAAATGACCTTTTTGCCCATCCCCGAGGGGCATTATTTTGAATTTGCGGAACAGTATGCGGCTTGATGCGCCCTATGCGCTATGTGGCTTTGATGCTGAGAGATGCGGCGCATATGCGGGCACATCTCTCCAAACCTCATATAGGGTCATTTTTGATGCGGTGCCTAGCGCATAGCGCATGATGTGGCCGCATTTTAAAACACTAATCAAGCCATATGTGCCACAACCCCTTTTTTCTTCTTTGTTCGTTAGTTTTTGGAAGCCTAAATTTAGGAGAATCTAATTCGAGATTTGCATATATAAGCTCTCTTCAAGAGCATCTCTATGGATATCAGTGGATTCCACCAGTGCCTAGAAATCATAGGCTCTTAGGCAGTTGGATTAAGCTTGTCGGAAGAAACCTAAATCCTGAATAGTGAATGCATGCATACCTTGCGTCAACTTCCTGCCCTTTGAGTTTTCAGTTCCTAAAAAGGCAGTCCATATCTATGAGGTTATGCATGGAAAGTAGAACAATAACATGGTTCTATACATGACATAAGCACTAGATTACGTTTGCAACACTATACAGGCAAAAAAGAGAAAAGGAGGCTATATCCATCCAGTTAGTAAATAACACTGTAGAAGTTGTTTACATCTTCATTGAGTATAAAGCAAATTGAAACAATACCAGACCATTGTGCCTTGGTTGCTCTCATAGGCATCCTTTTTGTAGGTACGCATACTTTAATGCTGGTTTAGAATTACTGAATTAGCAAGAGGGACAAAAATCAATGTTCGAATATCTCCCTCTTACAAACTAGTTGTTGCACCTCTTGGTCCAAAGATCTGGCAAACGTTCAGAAACATTGTTGATGTGCTTGTTTGACCTGGTATCTGAATAGCTTATTGCTGTTAAATTGTAGTACCAACTCCAAAGTCCTTAGTTTCTACACTAAATAGATGCAGAGTGCGAAAAATCATTTGCAAAACTAAGAAACAGTTCAATCCACTAGGCAAATAAACATTTATATGCCCTAAATAACAAACGAATGTTTGACTACACATTATATTTGTGTATTTATTGCCTATCTTTGCTTTCCATTTAAGTTGACTTTGACGTGGGTGAGTCACTAGGACTCGGCAACCTGCTGAGTCAATGATGCAAATAAAAATAAATAAATTATTTTTTAATGGGTTAT